ATTTATAAATTAATTTTTATGAAAGCTAAAAATAAGGTATTTATGTTAAAAGTTTTCATTTCATTTATATTTAAAAGTGCGTAACAACTTATCGCTTAGAACCTCATAATTTAGAACCTCATAATTTTGAGGACTGGCCCTGCCATCACCTAGCTTCTTGTCCAGTCTGGCCATTATTCCATTTTCCATTGTTAAGTGAATCACACCAGTTAGGTAAGAGTATAACTAGAGTTTATTGTGTTTCCATTCTTGAAATTGAAGGTAGAAATGAATGTAGTAGATTTTAGAATGTGGAAGAGATTGAGAAATGTTGTGTGAAAAAAATTTGAAAATGGGTTGAGGTATTTATGGAGTAAAAAAAAAAAAGAAAGATAAAATTAAAGTGGCCAAAACGGCTGCTTTTGATAGTTCAGTGACCGTTTGCAAACTGTTACTGTTGTAGGTGAGCCACGAGCCCAGAGCTTGGGCTCTTGACTCGCCTCCCACGAACCCATAAGCCAGGCTATTGGGCAAGGCTCATGGGTACACTCGTAAGCTTGCCTGGCTAGCAGCCCGTTCGACTCGTGCTCGTCAAATTACAAGCCCGAGCCGCCCACAAGCTGTATTTTCAAGAGTCGAGCGGCCAAGTCGAGAAGCCACTCGGCTTGTTTGACACTGTTAGGTATGGGACATGAAGTTGGAGAATTGTATTACCTGGATCTTTCACCAGTCTCTCCTCATCGAGTTCTCCAATCTTTTGTTTCACCCATGAAGTGGCATTGTCGTCAATTTTTTAGTCTTCTTAATGTGTCCTTCCTTGAATGTGAGCTTGTTAGTTTAACAAACATCATTGAGTTCCTTTTCCTTTAACAAATGTTAGTCGTGTTTTTAGTTTATTTGAGATAGACCTTCGAATGTATGGGGGACCAATCAATATTTTCTCTAATAAATTTCAGTATTTTATCACTTTTGTGGATGACTTAGTAGTGTCAACGAGCCGAGCTTGAGCCTGGAAAAAAAAAAGCTCGAGCCGAGCCCGACCAAAAAAAATGAGGCTCGGCCCAAGCTTTCGGCCTGAGCCTTAGCAGGCCGAGCCGGCTCGAGGGTTTTTTTTTTAAATCTACATTTAAAAAAAAAATTGTACATTTTATGCGTGTTATAAATTAAAGAAATTATAAAGTTAAAACCCTCCTCCTTTAT